CTCCCCGACAGGTCGTTTACCGTGATCGGCCGTAGACGGGCCAACTCGGACAGCAGCTTCAGGCACGGACTGGAGGTCCTGGTCTTGCAGGTGAACGGGTGCGTCCGCCGCCGCTGCTGGCTCTCCGGCAGGTGATTTACCATGGTCGACCGTCGTAAGGCCGACTTGGACAGCCGCCTCGGACACGGAAGGAGGTTGACGATGGGAACGAGGGCGACTCGCCAGAGGCACTTGGTCACTCCCCTCACTCCCTCACGACTCGCCAGAGGCACTTGGTCACTCCCCTCACTCTCCTCCAGAACGACGGCCGCAGGTTTTGCAGAAGTCTTCTCGACCGAGGGGACTACATTTTCTAAGACATGTGCATCCTCGACCAAGGGAACAACAACTGGTTTCCCAACCTTAGAAGCAGGCCGTGCGTAGACCGCTTCCTCGGCCGGAATTGGCCGATCCTCGACCAAGGCTTGGGCAACGGGGAGAGAAGGGGACACGCTGGGAGTCGTCGCCCCCGTGGTTTGACTGGAGATGACGTGAATATCCCATTCTCCTTTCCTTGTCAGCTTCTTGACCCGTTTGGCGGGCTGAGGGGGTTCGACGGTTGGCTCGGCTTCTCGACGAGGCCGTTTACTCGGCAAAGCCTGCGCGGCAACCTCTGCCATTTTTGAGACGGCCAATTTTTTCTTGGCCACAGTTACGGCGGCCGCCTCTACCTTTTTCAACGATCGACCACCTGATAACGTAAAAGCAAATCAGCAAAACCGATCAATAGCTCAAAATTGAAAGGAAAAAGGGGAAAATAAACAGGTACCCTGGGCTTGAGAGACAGAAGTTTTCTTAGGACGATCACCGAAAAGTTGGTCCAAGACGGTTTCGACCGAAACATCAAAGAACTCCTAGGTATACTTTTCCCACCACTCGCCAAAGGTATCGGTGCTAAGTGTTTCCGGGATGGCCGATCGAAGGTGGAAACTTTGGCATTGCTCTTGAAACTCCCTCTTGGCGATATTGCATTCCTTCTCCGAGGAACCAGTCTCGCGTCCACGGCTTATGACGGTTCGCGATGAGAGAAGAGGGATCGGGCAGCCTTGGAGGTAGCCAAGCTGTCGAGCCAGGAAGTTAGGATGGTATACCTCCCAGCCCGCTCGTTTCCCATCACAGCCAAGAGGAAGGTCACGAGTAAGCACGAATGACCCCCAGGACTAACGAAGGTCGGCGTCTTCGTCCGCGCCCCACATTGACGTAGGTAGCTTGATCGAGGAGGGATATTCTCAACGACGGCATATCAAGAACTCGTCGTTGGAAAGGTCATCAAGGGCGAAAAAGTATCTGAATACCTCTTCGGCTTGATGAGGGGGTGTTAGTCGGGAGGCCAGCTGAGGCCCAAGCGCTTCCGTTGGCGAGAAATCGACGATTGCCGGCCGAATGGAGGCGAAGTAAACTTGCACCCAGAGTTGAAAGACCCAGAGGGGACCATTTTGGTATGGGTCGATCTTGTGAAGGGTCGTCTCAACCAGGCAGCGGAAGAGATGGGCAAGAATGTTAGGACTAAGTGACAGGACGTGACCACTAGCCAGGGCCTCAGCTACCGGCATGTTCTCGACCAAGCATTTGTTCAATTTGGTACAACAAATGTACTTGTTGTACCAATAGAAGAGGAAAGCTTCATGTTCCCATTCTCGCAAAGCCTCTTCTCCTCGGCCGGCAAAATGGAGATATAGGGTGTTGTAGTTGAAGAAGTTCTTGTGGAGTTTCTGAACGTCTTCTTTCTAGGGGATTTGACCCTCACGGCTCAACGTCTCAAAAGCCCGTCGGTCGAAAAGCGTCTTCAGGTCAAGATTCAACGGGTACCCGAAGAGGGCAGCATCGATGGGGATTCCAGTTGCTGAAGTTCCCAAAATGGCGGTGACATCAAGAATGGTGGGGCCGACGGGACCAAGAGGGAGAACCATGGTGTTGGTGGCCAAGAACCAGAAGCATAGGGCGGCTAGGAGAAGCTCCTTGTCGAGAATGACATCCATAGACGAGAGGATGATGGCGTCGTAGATACCGAGGGCCTTCCATTGCTCGCCGAAAAGCTTTTCCATTCGAACAACCCAGGCTGCCCAGGTTGTAGTGGTCGAAGGCCAGGAGCCTTGAGGTTTCGCCGCATCCCATCTCGACCATTCAAACCCTTAGAGCAAGGGTGATAGGCAATGCTCCTGGAGAAGTCCAGTAATGGCTGACGGTACTGCCGCTTTAAAAAAAGGACCTAAGATTTGGTGAGAAGTACTCATGTCACTTTCAAACCGTATGGTTTTGATCGAGCTTCGATCAAGAATCTTTTGACACTGATCACATTCCCTGGAAAGTTTGGAGATGAATGAGGCCATTGTGGGAAGGATAAAAAGTAGGATGTGAAAGGGGTTTTTCTGGGTTGGAGACTTGAAGATGAAGACTCGGGGAAAAGGAATGTGCTAGAGCAATGGCAGAAACTCAGAAAATTTGAACGCGTAAAGGTACAAATGAGAGGATTTCGGTATTTATAGGACGATGAAGGGAAGGGCAATCGTTCGAAATTCGAAATAAAGGGTAGAATCGACCAAGGAATTCGCTAATCATTATGAACATTCAGAAAATCCAGTTAAAAAGACCGAGGGTTCTTATTTTGGGGGACGCACGATTGCGTGTGACGGCGAGATTTATGGTGAAAGACGGTTTGGCGTCTGCACGATGCTGGATGGTTCGTAGATCGAGGCAGCGTGGTGGTGTTCAGCAACAAGACCATGATGATATGACGGTTCAGGGGGCTGCACGCTCCAAATGTCACTATGGATTAACCCTATAAAAGAAGGCCACGTAGAATGGTGGTTAGCAGAATCGAGATCGTGGGATCGTGTTCAATAAATACACCTCGGAAGGAGAGCATTTGAGTTTTGAAGTTTCAACTTCGCTTCTTCAAGGCCAAGGCTCAACCAGAGGGTTCAGGCCGAAGGCCTCAGAAGCGAGGGGGCAATGTTTAGGCCCAAAATAATAGTTTGGGCCGAGTAGAGAATCATTCTCGGCCCGGAAGGCCTTGCGGCATGGATCGTTCAGTACGTGGGCCTCCAAACCTAGGTCGGCTAGGTCAGGACGTAGGATAAGTCGAGTCCTGGTGCAATAAGGAGTCTCGGCAGGATTAATAACCCGAGAGCAAATCCGGCTCAATAAAGGACTAGGTTCACAGTCATAATGAAAGTAAGATTGGTCGAGTCAGTGTTTGATTGGGAGAAGAAGTCCTAGTCCGAATGGGGTTTTAACTCGACCATGGGGGGAGCCGTTACTATAAATAGAAGAGGTTGTGCATCATTCGAAGCCCCTGCAATTCAATACAAAACTGCTCTGCGCAAACTCTCTCAACAACTTGAGATTTTTTCCTTCTTTTTTCGCTGACACATCTTCCGTTGGCATCAACAGCACTGTGAAAGCAACTGGTGATATCTTAAGTCGGCATAGATAGCTTTGTCACCGTAGAATTAGCCGGTCTCGCAGCATCTTCCATTGGCATCAACAGCACTACGGCGGGGACGGTTGATTACCTATCCAAGTCTCGGTCGAGAAGGATTTCTGAATCCTTATTGGTCGAGGTCATCTCATCAGCCTTCTCGGCAAAGTGAGGTGTTACAGTTATTACATTCGGCACATTGAAAGCCGAATTCGATTCGTAAACTTCGTAAGAATAGTAGCCTTGTCTTCAGGCTCGAGAATCCAAGAGGCCGAGACGTGTTCCTTTCTCGGCTGCAATCGCAAGACGCATAAGTCAATCGCGCACCCAACGTAACATCAACAAATTTACTCCTTGGCCGAGTTGGCACTCCCCGCATTCACCGAAGGACGTAGTTAGCTTATAGATTACTCGGCCTGCGCGCCACATAGGCTTGGTAGTTTCTAGGGTCAACAAAACTCTTTGGGCAATTTTCAAAGTTTCATAACTCAATCGATTTTTAACTAAATTCGACCCATAATATATCAAAATGAAGATAGGAAAGTGTAGAACAAGATTATACATATCTGTAAGCCCAATGGTTGCCAGAGATGGCCAGAAAATAGCATGAAAGGTGACTGGTCCGCAGGAAAATTGGAAAACTTGCCGGAAACCAGCTAAACTTTAAACGTTCATAACTTCTTCAATACTCAACGAAATCGAGTGATTCAAAAACGAAAATCATACTTCTTGACGAGATGAAGAGAATAATACCTTTCTCGATGACTAAATCGCCATGATTTAGCCGAAAAATGGTTCAAAAATGGCTAACCATTTTCGAGTTTAACTCATCCGTGTATCGTATAACTTGTAGACATCATCTTTGTTAAACAAATTATTGTCATGACTATACATAACTGTGCTCGTATTAATCAAGCGTGGCTGTTATGGTCAATCCACAAGAATCGTAAATTATAAATAAATAACATATTTGAGTCGACGACTCATTTAATGGAACATGTGAAACCCTAAAACTTGAACGAGCGAGCACGGAAGATCGTTTGATTTACAAGCCAAGAAACACTCCTCTGGTATGATCTCGGAGCGGGCCCGAATAAATCTACCCACGTCCCCATGTGTCCGCGCCTCCTCCATCAGTAAATGCTAATGTACGGCAGCACACAAATACCATTCCATGAACCCCCATCACACTCCCTCTATTCCCCGAGTATGAAATCCATCAGGTGATATGAAACGACATAAAGTCCTCGCGTTACACGGCTTTATACGTTACACTGTCACGCTGGCCCCTGGCAGTGAAGGTCATGGGCATCCAAGTCATTTTACGGTAAATTACATTGAAGCTCCTCTACTTCCCAATAATTACACCAACGGTCCACCAACCCTCATTAAACTTATGAACTAGGATCCTCTCCTGAGCAGTTCTCTAGGGATCCCGCAATCTTGTCCGTTCATTTTATATTGTGCCGTCAGTTTTCGTTAGATACTATTTATATTTGAATTTTAAAATTTAAATTTTAAATATTTCTGACCGCGATATACGATGAACGAACATGATTGCAGAATCCCTAGGATCCCTAGGGAACTGCTCAGGAGAGGATCTGGTTCTTAAACTTATACCCAAGAAATTTCAATCGTCTCCCTCACTCACTCTCTCTGCTCTCACTTGCAGAGAGCCCATGGCAGCCACGGCCGCCGTGGCCACTCTTCTCCTCACGAGCTTCTTCTTCGCTGCTCTCCACGTCTCTTCGAATCCAGATACCAAACCTCTCCTATCATTCAAAGCAACGTCGGACGCATCCAACAAGCTCACCACGTGGAACTCCACCTCCGTTGACCCGTGCACCTGGACCGGCGTCTCCTGCACCAACAACCGAGTCTCCCGACTTGTCCTCGAGAACCTCGACCTCCGCGGCTCGTTCCAGCCACTCACCGCGCTAACTCAGCTCCGAGTTCTGAGCCTCAAGCGTAACCGCCTCTCCTGCCCCATTCCGGACCTCTCCAACTTCACCGCCCTCAAACTCTTATTCCTCTCCTACAACGAACTCTCCGGCAACTTTCCAGCCTCCGTGTCCTCTCTCTTCCGTCTCTACCGCCTCGATCTGTCCTACAACAACTTATCCGGCGAGATTCCCGCAACGGTCAACCATTTGAATCATCTTCTCACTCTCCAGCTCGAGGCGAACCGTTTCTCCGGTTCGGAGCCATAGCGTCTCCTGTAATGCCTGCTGCTAACCCAACCGTCGTAGCGTCGTCGCCGAGTTCGTTACCCGGGAACTCAGCGCTGAACAAATCGGGAAATCCTCACCGAAGTGGTAGCGCGAAAATGAGTCCGGAGGCTCTAATCGCCATTATAGTTGGCGACGCTTTGGTTCTCGTGCTGGTTTCGCTGCTACTGTACTGCTACTTCTGGCGGAATTTCAGCGCCAAAATGCGGCAGGGCAAGGGCGGCTCGAAGCTTCTAGAAACTGAGAAGATCGTGTACTCGTCGAGCCCCTACTCCGCCGCCCAACCAGTGTTCGAGCGGGGTCGGATGGTGTTCTTCGAAGCAGTAAAGCGTTTCGAGCTCGAGGACTTGCTCAGGGCCTCGGCGGAGATGCTGGGGAAAGGCGGGTTCGGGACGGCGTACAAGGCGGTTCTCGACGATGGCAACGTGGTGGCGGTTAAGAGGCTCAAGGATGCTCAGATTGGCGGGAAGACTCAGTTCGAGCAGCACATGGCGGTGCTGGGGCGGCTCAGCCATCCCAACATTGTGAGCTTGAGGGCTTATTACTTCGCCAGGGAGGAGAAATTGTTGGTATACGATTACATGCCCAATGGCAGCCTGTTCTGGGTTCTCCACGGTAATTTTTTTTCAGTTTTCCTGCTTAATTTTTGTTTGGTTGCCAAGAAATTTTTTCTTTTTCAAATATTAGTTTAATTCTGGGCTTCAATTTGGTGCCTTGTTTTCTGTAAGTTTAGGTCAAACGGGGTCAAATTTAGGGTTTTTTTTGTAATTATATATTTAGGGTTTTACTGTCGGTCCTGTCAACTCCACTTCCGTCTTTATCTTCCTTTTACTTTTGTCTTTGTTTTTTGCTCCCTTCTTTTCCTTCTTTCCTGCTCTGAATATGACCAAAAAGCGCCTAACTCCGCTGCACTCCACGCTTTTACGTAATTGTCCTTAGTTGTAATTATCGTGAACTAACGATGGCTAACTTGAACAGGAAACCGTGGACCCGGTCGGACTCCGCTGGACTGGACAACGAGGCTGAAAATCGCAGCCGGAGCCGCTCGAGGCTTGGCCTGCATTCACGACTCGTGCGGGCCGCTTAAGCTCACCGGTAACATCAAGTCCACCAACATCCTCTTAGACAACACTGGCAACCAGAGGCGGAGCCACAGTGGGGTCAATGGGGTCGCACGACCCCTTGGAAGCCATGGAAATAACCTTAGAGGTCCCTTGGAGCTGCTGGTGCGACCCCTTAAAACTGCGGGTGCGACCTCTTGGAGCTGCTGCATTTTTCTGGGTTTCTTCTGATTTTCGTTCGGTTTGGCGGAAGAGGAAGACGAAGACTCTCTCTCTTCCTTTCACACCACGTGACCACACACTCCTTATTTAATTTTTTTTCTTAGTTTCTCTCCAATCAGATTTGTACAGCTAGCATCAAATTGCTTGCTTTGTGTAAAAAGCCATAGGCTGTCAGTTCACCATTAAGTCTTGGTGCAGATTGCAAAGTTCCATGCGTCCACATCCACATATTTGACATAAATTAATGGTAATGATGTGTGTGCCCCCTTTCCACATCCACATATTTAACAACTTTATTTCTCTTTATATTCAACATAAATTAATATGATCTCTAAAAAATATTATTATGAACCACCATATTGACATCAGAATTTTATGTTTTTTTTTTTTTTTTTTTTGAACAACCAGAATTTTATGTTTATTATGAACCATCCAACCCAATTTTATGTTTATTTTTGGTTGTCAGGGAAAGTAAAGGCACCTTTCAGTATGGTAACTATCGGCGAGAGGCTGATCACGCTATCCTACCAAGACCTGATGAAATGACGATATGCATGCCGTTTTTGTTAAAAAAAAAATTTGCGCTGCGCGCACTATCCTTGTTGACCCCCCAAACATTATTTCCTGGATCCGCCACTGCTGGCAACGCCTGAGTCTCCGACTTCAGACTCTCCGTTTTCGTGCCTCCTCCGCCCTCCACGTCGTCCGCTCCGCGATCTTGCGGTTACCGCGCTCCCGAGACGTTGGACGGTCGGAAGTCGACGCAGAAATCAGACGTGTACGCTTTTGGTGTTCTGCTGCTGGAGCTGCTCACAGGGAAGTGTCCCTCTGTGGTGGATAATGGCGGGTCCGGGGGAGGATTCGGTGGGCTTGTGGACCTGCCCAGGTGGGTCCAGTCTGTGGTCAGGGAAGAATGGACAGTGGAGGTGTTTGACTTGGAGCTGTGTTGAATTGTGGCCAAGTGGACAACAAAACAACTTTCGGCTAATAAACAAACCAAAATAAAAAAAAAGGTGAAAGACATCATGATGAGGAGGCATCATGATTATATTTGTTGAAAAGAAAAGTTGATGGTCATGATGATGTTTTTGAATTGTTTATTGGGTGTTGATGATGGATGAATGTTAGCATACAGAAGTGAGAAAGAGAGAGGAAGGAGAGTGCACCATTTTCTTTTTTGTAGTCCATCTTTGAGAAAGCAAAGAGAGTTGCAGAGAGCAGAAAACTGAGAGCAGAAAGAGAAGAAAGAAAGATGATTTCTTTCTTTGTTGGTACTCACTCAATCAAAGTTGTATTTGTGTATTAGCTTTGAGCTTTGTATAGAGAGGAAATTATTCATTATATTTCCCTCTCTATTTGTTTCTTTGGTGAGTGAAAGTTATTGGGTGTATTGGGTTATTTGGGTTGTGAGATTGCCAACACTTTGTAAACTCCCATTTGGTTGATAGTGGATTATTGGGTGAGCTCCTACTGCTCCGAGGACGTACTCCAGTTACACTGACTGTTGAGGAACCTCGTTAAAATCTTGGTGTTCTTTTGTATTTTGTTCTTGCATTTTCATTTGATAAATTTCTTGTGGGTTAGCTTGAGTTGGTTCCAACGGTTTTGGTGCTATCCTAGCACAACAATTGGTATCAGAGCACTGGTTGCTCTTGGGTACTGTCTAGTTGCCAAAGATGTCAGACGGGCAAGATGAAAATCCTTTTGGAAGCAGCTCCGGGTTTGCAAGAACGACGGTGCAAAATGCAAAGTTCGAAGTGGAAAAGTTTGATGGCACAAACAACTTCGGGATGTGGCAATGTGAGGTCAAAGATGTGTTGGCTCAACAAGATCTACTTGCCGCTTTGGGAGAGAAGCCGGAAGTTATGTCGAAGCCGGAATGGGAGAAATTAAATTTGTGGGCTTGCTCTTCAATTCGGTTGTGCCTTGCAAAAACTCAGAAGTATTTTGTGATGCGGGAGACATTAGCAAGTGTGTTGTGGCAAAAATTGGAAGACAAGTATATGACAAAGAGTGCAGAGAACCGGCTACACTTGAAGAAAAAGCTCTACCGCTTCCAATACAAAGAAGGTACAAAAATGATTAGACACCTTGATGCTTTTAATAAGTTGATTGCCGACTTGTTAAACTTAGATGAGGATATTAAGGATGAAGGTAAGGCCTTAATATTGTTGAATTCCTTGCCGGACTCTTATGAGCATTTTGTTACCACTATTATGCATGGTAAAGAAACTGTGAAATTTGAAGATGTGTCAAATGCCTTGATGAATTATGAAATGAGGCATAGAGATAAAAATCATGATGGTACCTCTGAAGCTTTATTTGTTAGAGGTAGATCATCGGAGAGAAGATCATCTTCTAGCAGAAAAAAATCACAGTCTCGACCTAGAGGAAACTCTAAAGGTAGAAAACCTTTGGAAATGGATGAATGTGCCTTTTGTCGTAATAAGTGCCATTGGAAGAAAGATTGTCCTAAATTGAAGACCAAAGGCAAAGAAAGTTCTGAAGCTAATGTTGCTGAGGTTGAAACATATTTTTCTGATTTTGCTTTAACCACTTCCTCATCATTTGATTGTGCTACTAAGTGGGTGTTGGATACGGGTTGTACTCATCATATGACTCCTCACAAGGATTGGTTTTCAAGCTTGAAAGAGTTTGATGGTAACGTTGTGTTCATGGGAGATGACAATCCTTGCACAACAAAAGGGATTGGTACAGTTCGTTTGAAGTTACATGATGGCATGATTAAAGAGTTGACAGGTGTTCGGTATGTACCGAATTTGAAGAAAAATCTTATTTCTTTGGGTACTTTGGAATCCAAGGGTTTCAGGTTTCATTCAGATGGACAGACATTGAAAGTTACTTATGGTGCACTTGTTGTGATGAAAGCTCCTAGATGTGGCCATTTGTATTTATTGCAGGGAAGCACTGTGACAGGTGAAGCATCTGTAGTCTCTCTGAAAATATGGGCACATCTGATTCAGATACTACTAGATTGTGGCATATGAGATTAGGCCATGCCGGTGAGAAAGCTCTACAAGGGCTTGTGAAACAAGGTCTTCTAAAAGGTGCCATGACTTGTAAGCTTGATTTCTGTGAGCATTGTGTCTTGGGGAAGCAAAACTAGAGTGAAGTTTGGTACTGCTGTACATCAGACGAAGGGCATTCTTGATTATGTGCATTCAGATGTTTGGGGTCCTACAAAGACTCCCTCTTTGAGTGGTAGACATTGGTTCGTGACCTTTGTTGATGATTATTCAAGAAGGTCTTGGGTCTACACTATGAAGCACAAGAGTGAGGTGTTAAGCATTTTCTTGGGTTGGAAGAAAATGGTTGAGAACCAGACTGGGAGAAAGATTAAGATTTTGAGATCGGATAATGGTGGTGAATACACATCCGATCCTTTCTTTAAAGTTTGCAAAGAGGAAGGAATTGTGAGACACTTCAGTGTTCGGGGAACTCCACAACAAAATGGAGTTGCAGAAAGATTGAATCGAACCTTGCTTGAGAAGGTTAGATGTATGTTGTCTTAGTCGGGTTTAAGCAAGTCATTTTGGGCAGAAGCAGTTAATTATGCATGTCACATCATCAACCGGTTACCCTCAGCTGCTATTCAGGGTAAGACACCAATGGAGGTATGGACTGGAAAATCTTCTTCTGATTATGACTATATCCGTATTTTTGGTTCACCTGCTTATTTTCATGTGACTGAAAATAAACTTGATCATAGAGCCAAAAAGGCTATCTTTCTTGGTTTAGTAGTGGTGTCAAAGGTTACAGGTTGTGGTGCCCAGAGATGAAAAAACTTGTAATCAGCAGAGATGTGACATTTGATGAAGAAAGTATGTTCAAAGACTCTGAGAAAAATGTGAAAGATGTCCAACAGGTGGAGCTTGAGAAAGTTGCCTCTGGTACTTCAAATCCTATTTCCGCTGATGTTGAAGCCACTACAAGTGAAGAAGTTGGAGACCATGAGGATGTTGAAGAAGTTGAACTTGAAGATTCTATTCAAGTTGAAGAGCAAGTTTCACCTCAAGAGTCTATTGCCAAGAACAGAGGAAAGAGACAAATTACCAAGCCAGCTCGTTATAGTGATTATGTTGCTTTTGCTCTTCCTATTATCACTGAAGAGATTCCATCCAATTTTGAGGAAGCTATTGAGAGTGAGGAGAAGAATAGGTGGTGCAATGTCATGGGTGATGAGATGAATTCTCTCTTGAAGAACAAGACTTGGGAGTTAGCTAAATTGCCTAAGGGCAAGAAAGCTATTGGGTGCAAATGGGTGTATGCCAAGAAGGAAGATGCTGATGAGAAAAGCAATGTGAGATTTAAAGCAAGATTAGTTGCTAAAGGGTATGCACAAAAGAAGGGCATTGACTACAATGAAATCTTTTCTCCGGTTGTGAAGCACTCCTCAATTCGTATTATGTTAGCTCTTGTTGCACAATATGATCTTGAGCTTGTGCAACTCGATGTGAAGACGGCTTTCCTACATGGTGATTTGAATGAAAAGATCTATATGTGTCAACCGGATGGGTATATAGTGAAAGGGAAGGAAAATTTGTTTTGCAAATTGAAGAAATCGCTTTATGGCTTGAAGCAATCTCCAAGGCAATGGTATTTAAGATTTGATAAATTTATGAGAGGTCAAAATTATTCTAGAAGTCAATATGATCATTGTGTGTACTTCAAGAAGTTGCAAGATGGGTCTTTCATTTATTTATTGATATATGTTGATGATATGTTGATTGCCTCAAAGAATGTTGAAGAGATTGAGAAATTGAAGAAACAAATGAAGAATGAGTTTGAGATGAAGGATCTTGGTGAAGCAAAGAAGATCCTTGGCATGGAGATCACTAGAGATAGAGAGAAGGGTTTGGTCAGTTTGAATCAAAGACAATACCTTGAGAAGTTGATTCGGAAGTTTGGAGTTCATGATTCAACCAAACCGGTTAGTACCCCTTTGGCTCCTCATTTTAAATTGAGTTATCTACAATGTCCTAAAAATGATAAAGAGAAGCTGCAAATGAAAAATATACCATATGCAAATTTGGTTGGTAGTTTGATGTATGCAATGGTATGCTCTAGACCTGATATTGCTTATGCAGTTGGCATGGTGAGTCGATATATGCATAATCCAGGTAAAGAGCATTGGCAAGCAGCTAAGTGGATATTGAGGTATCTCCATGGTACTCGAGATGTTGGTTTATGCTTTGAGAGGGATGACTCTGGTATTGGTCATTTTGCAGTTGGTTATGTTGATTCAGATTATGCAGGTGATCTGGATGGAAGGAAGTCTACTACAGGCTATGTGTTTACTATGGCTAAATGACCAGTTTGTTGGAGGTCCATTTTGCAGTCGTCTGTTGCCTTGTCTACTACAGAGGCTGAATATATGGCAGTTGCTGAAGCTATAAAGGAGGCCATTTGGATACATGGGCTGATTAGAGATTTGGGGGTTGATCAGAAGCAGGTGGAGGTACATTGTGATAGTCAGAGTGCCATTTATTTGGCTAAGTATCAGGTTCATCATGCGAGGACCAAGCACATAGATGTGCGTTATCACTTTGTTCGTGAAATTGTTGGTGAGGGGGAAATCATTCTCCAGAAGATTCCAATTAAAGACAACCCCGCTGATATGTTGACTAAGGTTGTTGGTGTAGCCAAGTTTGTTCACTGTTTGAACTTGGCTCACATTTTGCCTATATAAAGAAGGCGTTGAGCAGTAGGAGTTTTGGAGCATTTGGCTCGGCATGAGTTGTTCTCTTGCTAATGTTTTGGAGTGATGTTGTGTGTTAATTGTGTTGGTTGGCTTATCATGGCGTTTTTCGGAACTTGGCCAAGGTGGAGATTGTTGAATTGTGGCCAAGTGGCCAAGTGGACAACAAAACAAAACAACTTTCGGCTAATAAACAAACCAAAAAAAAAAAGGTGAAAGACATCATGATGAGGAGGCATCATGATTATGTTTGTTGAAAAGAAAAGTTGATGGTCATGATGATGTTTTTGAATTGTTTATTGGGTGTTGATGATGGATGAATGTTAGCATACGGAAGTGAGAAAGAGAGAGGAAGGAGAGTGCACCATTTTCTGTTTTGTAGTCCATCTTTGAGAAAGCAAAGAGAGTTGCAGAGAGCAGAAAACTGAGAGCAGAAAGAGAAGAAAGAAAGATGATTTCTTTCTTTGTTGGTACTCACTCAATCAAAGTTGTATTTGTGTATTAGCTTTGAGCTTTGTATAGAGAGGAAATTATTCATTATATTTCCCTCTCTATTTGTTTCTTTGGTGAGTGAAAGTTATTGGGTGTATTGGGTTATTTGGGTTGTGAGATTGCCAACACTTTGTAAACTCCCATTTGGTTGATAGTGGATTATTGGGTGAGTTCCTACTGCTCCAAGGACGTACTCCAGTTACACTGACTGTTGAGGAAACTCGTTAAAATCTTGATGTTCTTTTATATTTTGTTCTTGCATTTTCATTTGATAAATTTCCTGTGGGTTAGCTTGAGTTGGTTCCAACGGTTTTGGTGCTATCCTAGCACAACAAGCTGATGAGGTACAAGGATATTGAGGAGGAGATGGTGGGGCTTTTGCAGATTGCAATGGCTTGTACGGCCGCTTCGCCTGATCAACGTCCCAGGATGAGCCAGGTGGTGAAAATGATTGACGAGATTCGGGGCCTGTCTGGTTCGCCGAGTCACGAGGCCGGCTTTGAATCCATGTCCGAGTCGTCGGCCTTGTCGGAGGACACTTGCGGAGCAAGTCAGTGATCGCACCACCAACCATTTTTAACGTTCTTGTGTTGTAAATCTACGGGTTTTGTTTTGTTGGCTTCAGTTCCCTTGCCTGCTTATTTAATCTCAAATTTTCGTTTGTGCTAATTTAATTACATCGATTGCAACGATTTTATAGAGCTTAAATCGGAATCGTTTAATTAAATAGATTTAGGATTTAGAGTTAACAAAAAGGAAATGTAACAATCTGAATCTATATGCTGAAATACATGATCTGCGGTGCAAGTCTCAGCAGGTTATCCAAAGTATCAGGCATGAACTTTCTGGCGAATAAGAAACAAACATCCGTGCTCCTTCCATTGTATTCACATTTCCGACCATAACCACTCCTCAGGCTACTCAGAAGCGCCGCCGTCACGTTCGGGCTCCTGTACTCCATCGGGTGTGGGCCGCCCTTGCTCCAGTCAACCCAGGTCAAAGTCCTATTTGCATTCCTTGCTGCAAATTTCAAGTGCACAAATGTTGGCAAATAATGTTCATCCGGAAAGCAATAGCCTTTGCACTTGAGGAATTCCGGGAAGTATTTTCGATCCGAGATGGATTCAATGGCAACCTCTCTATCAATTGCAAACCACGCCCACCCTTTTCTCCATTGATCTACCGTGATTCTCGTATGGTTGCTGAGATAGTACCGGACCGAACTTGGGTCATCGAAGACCTCTACGAAAGTTCGGGTAGAGTTGATGAGGTAGGAGTAGACAGTGGAAAAGTTGTAGAGGGGAATGCATGTCTCTGAGAGGAGAACAAAATGTTGGTTTGAGATGTCGAGAAGAGCATTCGCCAATAGGCGGCTCACAGCCTCAATCAAGCTCACCTTCCCCCATTCTACTTCCTGAACATTGTAACAAGATCAAAAGAATAATCATTAGTATTCGGCGAAAAATAAATTAAGTCAAGCAAAAAACTTATCACCTGACTAGGAATTCTTCGCTCATGAAACATCGGACTTTCAGGATGCATCCTTGCATTGCGATCAACCTTTCTGCAACGGGGAAAGGAGTGTTTCAGTTAATTTTTCAATTCAAGGAAAATGGATTTGTTTGCGGTACATTTACAGAGATGAAAATTTCATTTCACCGTTAATTTTACTTTATCTCAATTTTTGTTGTGGCAAGGTTGCTTCATTTCAGACCAAACACAAATAAGATTGATTACCAATAATATATTTTAGTTATAGGGCTTATTGTTTGTTGTTAGTTTACGGTTACGTTGCCTAATTGCAACCTAATTAGGTGTCTGGACAAGTTACTTCACATTGCTTGTTTGATTTGTTGCTAAGAACATAAAAGCAACCTTGGGAACAAGATGGAATGGATGTCCGCGAATCCTAGGACTCATTGAAGCTCTCCATAGCAGTTCTTCAACGTTCACGGGAAACGCCTTTGGTGGCTTTAGATAGTCCGTAAATCCTACAATATGTGAGGTTTGTCTGTAAATGTTCGGCTTGTATTGCATGTTGCGGCTGTTACACTTGGGATTATAATTTGTGAAGTATTGGGGGTACATAGGAGATAGCTGGCAAGGATAATTGGAAGTCTTTCTGATTGCTAAGTGCAATTCCAAGGGTTAAACCGCAAAAACATAGAAAGAAATAAGAAAGCAGATTGAGGAGGTTGTATTGGACGCCAAAGAGTTTGGGAAACTACTTTACTGGATTTGAATCTGGACCCTTCATCATTTCAGAGAACAATAGACTGAAGACATATGTCCTTCTAGGCTCTAGCTATATATCTTACTTATATTTTGTGTCTTCTGTAAGTGGCTGCACAAAACTCTCCTTTTGCGTTACGATCGACCTTTCTGCAACGGAAAACGGAGTGTTTGGGTTCATTTTTGTATGCAAGGTAAAATGTATTGCTTTGTGTTGAAGTTATAGAGATGAGAAGTCCATATCACCATTATTTTTACTCTTAACCATAAATTATTTTTGGTGCGAGGTGCTTCATTGCAGACCAAAAACAAAGGAACCATTTTACCAGTGAGCGCAACGATTGTGTCTTTTCTCGCAACCTATTTACCTGGAATCTAGAAGATCATGAAACTCAAAATCGCAACGGAAGCGCAACGATTGTGTGTCTGTTCTCGCAAGATCTATTGAAGAATACAAGAATTTCACAATGAATAATCTATTGCAACTCTTCCCTTTCCCTCTTACTACTTTCACTATTTTTTTCCCCTCTTTTTCTTCCGTGAAGCAGTAATATGAGTACAGTAGTCATGAATATCTATGTGTTGAAGTGCATGATCTCCGGTGCAAACTTCAGTAGGTTATCCAAAGCAGTTGGCGGGAACTTCCTGGCGAATAAGAAACATACATCTGTAGTCCTCCCATTGTATTCACATTTCCGACCAAAACCATTCCTCAGGCCACTCAAAAGCACTGCCGTCACATTTTCGCTCGCGTACTCCGTAGGGTGTGGGCCACCCTTTTCCCAGTCAACCCAGGTCAACGTCCTATTTGCATTCTTTGCTCCAAATTTTATGTACACAAACGTTGGCAAATAATGTTCATCGGCGAAACAGTAGCCTTTGCATTTCATGAACACTGGGAAGTATATTCGATCCGATACGAATTCAAGGGCGAGGTCTCGATCAGCTTGGAACCACTGCGACCCTTTTCGCCACTGATCTATTGTAATTCCCAGGTAGTCACTCAGTTCATACCGGCCGCGTCCTACTCCACTGGGATCGTCAAAGACCTCGACGAAAGTTTGGGTGGAGTTCATGAGGTAGGAGTAGACAGTGGTGAAGTTATAGAGGGGAATGCATGATTCTGAGAGCAGAACAAAACGCTGGTTTGAGACGTCGAGAAGAGCATTCGCCAGGAGGAGGCGCTCTGCCGCGATCAGGCTCACCTTCCCCCATTCTACTTCCTGCAATTAGTACATGTTGTTGAACAGAAAATAGTGAGAACAATTGGCAACCACCTATACTGTGGAAATTATTGAGAATTACAATTTAGAAACAAACTGGCTTTACAATATAGTTATTAACACGCATTGGTTATATTTAACTACATTTTACACCCTCAAAGTCAGTTTTAAAATGGACCATATGAATTCAATTTTTGCACGGCGTACTATCAGGTCTAAAATCTTAACAATTTATGATTTAAAGTTATCAGATTGTATGATCGTTTAATTAAACTAATGATCTGACATACATGGAGCTCACCTTGAGCTAATGTGGAAGTCAACTATGGATCAAAAAATAAATATCACAAAGTCTCGTCTTCACCTCAATTTATGCTTCGTTACACTATATATGATATTTAATTGCACGGTTTTAGTCTTATTGCGGTTAGCGTGGCTAATACTAACCCAAACACGGATTCCACATCTGTCATGCCATCAATTTAACAGAGCATAGACAGTAACAAACAAAAAATTGTGAAAATTGAAAGTTGGTGACTTCTTATAAAATTTTACTCCAAACAATGCGGAGGATGTAAATGTAGGTAGTACAATGTTAATTTACTTCTGTGGTTTTATAGTCTGTGTGATGAAACTTGAGTAATAATTTCAATTCTGAAAAAAAAAATCACAGAAATATAGCTTTTACTTAGTGCAGACAAAAGGGGAAAAAACTAACCTGACTTGGAATTCGCCGGCCACCAAAAACTGGGGTTTCGGTGTACAATGAGTGATTGTAGGACGGACTTGAGTGCACATAAATTGAGTACAAACCTTGATGCCCGGCAAAGAACTTCTCCCACAGTGGTGCCAAAACAACAGGGCCCTTTGTCAAGAACATGAAAGCAACTTTTGGAACAAAATGGAATGGATATTCAGGAATCCGCGGAGTTATAGAAGCTCTCCACAGCAGTTCTGCATTGTTCATGTCGTGAAATGCCTTCGGTGGCTTCAGATAATCCTTCAACCCTGTCCGAGGAGGACTTGACGAAACAGATGTTGTTGGGGAGGTTGCATTTGGCATTCGGGTTCTTGAAATATTGGATGGAGGAGGAGGTGAGATAGGTGAGAAGGGGAGCTGTGCGAACTGTAGACGGCCAAATGAAAAGTCATTGAGATTGCTAAGTAAAACTCCGAGGGTTACTCCGAAAAGGAAGAGCAGGAAATATGAGAGCAGATTGAGGAGGTGGCGTTGGAGATTGAAGGATTTTGGAAAAAAGATTGGAGAGTTTGGATCTTGAGCCTTCATGTTTACACAGAGATAATTATAAAAAGTTTCTAAGAAACTTGTTATAATTAATCTCTGTTAATCAACAAAAATAAGACGATGAGCTGAGAAAATTTGGGATTAAGAAATCAAAACAATCTGAAACATAAACATATCACATGCTATGAAGATTTGGCCTTGAAATTATCTGCCGTGACGACTTTGTAGTTCACGATGGCATGGGGGGTTACCATTGGGATCTGTCTGCAATGAAATACGAACACAAGATTTTAGTTTACTTTTCGCATATCAAGGAAAATGTATTGCTTTTGTATTAAATTTACAGAAATGAGAATTCCATTTCACCAATATTGTAACTCGAATGAGATTTTTTTTGGGGTGAAAGGATGCTTAATCACATACCATAAACAAAGATTGATTACCTAGTAATTTTAGATTGAGGGCTTATTGTTAATTAGTTGTTTATCTATGATTGCATGCCTAATTGTATTTTCTTAGAAAAAAAAAAAAACTTTTGTGTGAAATAAATGTGATTGCTTGGGTTTGAACCAAAAAATAAAAATTACAATTTGGTATGATGGTGCTTGGAGACATGGTTCCGGTCGTACTAGTTATGGTGGTGTGTTTCGGAATTTCAAGGGCCAGTTCCTTAGAGTCTTTTGTTCTAGCCTGGAGATTCTAGCTCTGGTGCGGCGGAGGTAATAGTTGTAATTAAGGCTATTGAATTAGCTTCAGTTTGGGATTGGAATTTTATTTGGTTGGAAGTTGATTCTGCTTTGGTTCTTGACTTCTTACCCTCTCCTCAATTGGCTCCTTGGCAATTGAGAGTGGAGGGTAGAAAATGCTTGCACTGAATTTCCCCAACGCTTTTTTGGACTTCTCACATTTATCGAGAAGGTAATCAAGTTGATGTTGCTCTTGCAAATCATAGTTCCTCTTCTACGAGTCTTGTCTGGTGAGATTCTCCTCCTAATTTCATTTTGCCATTATCATCGTGATTAATTATGTAGCGCTTCCTCACTACGGCTTTAGATAGGTTATCATTTATTGGCCTTGTTATATCTTGTATTGGTTGTTATAAGTTTTGTTTGTTATGACTTATTATGGTCAAGGTTAGATTTTGTGTCTTCTTTGACAAATTATATTTTCCTTCTTTTTAATAAAGCAACCTTATTGTCACTTACCATGATAACAATGTTGAAGTGAAAATGACTTTGTGATTTTACTATAAAAAAAATGGTATAATTAATTTGTGAATATTTTCCATGAAAGTAACAATTTAATTTTTCAGACTACAAACAAAAATGAATTAATATGAGTACAGTAGTCAGAATATCTTTGTGTTGAAGTGCATGATCTCCGGTGCAAACTTCAGCAGGTTATCCAAAGCAGTTGGCGGGAACTTCCTGGCGAATAAGAAACAAACATCTGTACTCCTCCCATTGTATTCACATTTCCGACCAAAACCATTCCTCAGGCCACTCAAAAGCTCCGCCGTCCGATTTTTGGTGGCGTACTCCGTAGGGTGTGGGCCACCCTTTTCCCAGTCAACCCAGGTCAACGTCCTATTTGCATTCTTTGCTCCAAATTTCATGGACACAAACGTTGGCAAATAATGTTCATCCGAAAAACAGTAGCCTTTGCATTTCATGAACACTGGGAAGTATTTTCTATCCGATACGAATTCAAGGGCGAGGTCTCGATCCGCTTGGAACCACTGCGACCCTTTTCGCCATTGATCGATTGTGATTCCCGGATAGTCACTGAGTCCATACCGGCCGCGTCCATCTCCATTGGGATTGTCATAGACCTCGACAAAAGTTTGGGTGGAGTTGATGAGGTAGGAGTAGACAGTGGAGAAGTTATAGAGGGGAATGCATGCATCTGAGAGCAGAACAAAACGCTGGTTTGAGATGTCGAGAAGAGCATTCGCCAGGAGGAGGCGCTCTGCCTCGATCAAGCTCACCGTCCCCCATTCTACTTCCTGCAATTAGTTAGCACATGTTATAGACAGAAAATAGTAAGAACAATTGGCAGCTACCTATATAGTGGAAATGATTGAGAATTACAATTTAGAAACAATCTGTCTTTACAATAATTACTTTTACTAAGACTCCTCGGTTTATAACTACATATTACATTTTCAAAGTCATGGAGCTTTCTAAAATGGACCACACGACTTTAATTTTTATTTGTTGTACTATCAGGTTTTAAAATATTATCAATTTAAGATTTATAGATATCTAATTGTATGATCGTTTAATTAAATTAATGTACTAACATGCATGGAGCTCATCTTTGAGCTGATGTGGAAGTCACACCATGGAGCTCATCTTCGCCTTCACCTCAACTTATGCTTTCGGTATGCTGTACGATAACCAATTGCACGGTTTTAGTATTAGTGCGGCTAGTGTGACTTTACATAACCCAAAAATGAGTCCCACATCTGTCACACCATCAATTAACAGAGGATAGGATAGATACTAACACATAAAAGATTGAGGTGTCAAAAATTGAAAGTTGGCAACTCCTTAGGAAATTTAACCCCAAACAATGTGGAGGGTGCAAAGGTGGGAAGTCAAATATTAATTTGCCTTCTTTGGTTTTATAGTCCGTGTGATGAAACTTGACTATTCAATTCTGAAAACTATCACAGAAATATAGCTTTTTACTTAGTGCAGACAATAGGTAAAAAAAAAACTGACCTGACTCGGAATTCTCCGGCCACGAAAAACTGGAGTTTCGGTATACGATGAGTGATTGTAGGACGGACTTGAGTGCACATAAATCGAGTACAAACCGTGATGCCCTGCAAAGAACTTTTCCCACAGTGGTGCCAAAACAACCGGCCCCCTTGTCAAGAACATGAAAGCAACTTTTGGAACAAGACAGAATGGATATTCAGGAATCCGCGGAGTCATCGAAGCTCTCCACAGCAGTTCTGCATTGTTCATGTCGTGAAACGCCTTCGGCGGCTTCAGATAGTCCTTCAACCCTATCCGAGGAGGACTTGACGAAACGGACGTGTTGGTCCCAACAACGGATGTTGTTGGAGAGGTTCCATTTGGCTTTAAGGTTTCTGAAATATTGAATGGAGGAGGAGGTGACACAGGTGAGAAGGGGATCTGTGCGAATTGTAGGCTGCCGAATGAATGGTCCCTGAGATTGCTAAGTACAACTCCGAGGGTTAATCCGAAAACGAAGAGCAGGAAATATGAGAGGTAATTGAGGAGGTGGCGTTGGAGATTGAATGATATTGGAAAAAAGCTTGGAGACTTTGGATCTTGAGCCTTCATGTTACACAAAGATAGCAAGAAACTTGTTATGATTAACCTCTGTTAATCATCCAAATTAAGACGATTAGCTGAGAAAATATAGGATTAAGAAATCAAAGCAATCTGAAACATAAACATATCAGATGCCATGAAGATTTGGCCTTGAAATTATCTGCTGTGAGGACTTTGTAGTTCACGATGGCATGGGGATACCATTTGGACCTGCCTGCAACGAAATACGAAATACAAGATTTTATTTTACCTTTTGTATATAAGGTGAATAATGTAATGCTTTTTTGTTATTATCAATTTAAGGATTTGTTTTTTAAATTTGAGATTTTTTTTCCAAATTTTTAATATTTGAGATTAATGCGCTAGAAAATACAGGAAAAGAAAAAGAAACAGAGATTTATTATCTTAGTTAAAATAGTTTTGTATAAAAAAATAAAAGATTTCAAAAGATTTGACTATACCTTAGTACTTTTCAAGAGTTTTGATTTTTCAATGCCAAATTGTGGCTTAATTTTTTATTACATGCGTGTTCGATTTTATTTTTGATTTGCTAATATTATAACAGCAAAGTTTTTCTACTTTTTCTTCATTTGGAAAATACATACGATTCCTTGAGCTTTAAACAAAAATGAATTAAAGGCATAAGATGATTTAAGTCCATTATTTTCAATGCCATGTTTTGATTAGGATCCATCTGATTGTCCCCCATCAGCCTCTTTCCCTTAATTGATGAACACAAAGGGTTCAAAGATTTTTTAAAACGTTTTGTGGCAATTAATACTTAGCAAAAATTGTAGCAATGGCAAATGGAATTTTTAGGTTATTTTGAATCGTAACTGATTACATTTCTATATATACAGGACTAGGATTTTTTCGCGACTGCTACACTCAGGACCTTCAGTTCAATTTCAGTCCACAATTCCGTCAAATATATGCAACAGGTCGAAGCCTTTGAAATTGGGCTACCATCAACGCTTTGCTTTTAAGAGAAACAAAAACAAAAATAGCTTACCAGAAATGGAAGAATGAAGGGATTTAAATTATAAACAAAAAATTTCGTCTGGATAACCATTTTCTCTTTACTATACACTTAATCAATGTGATAATGAACATAAATCTGTTAGACCGCGATGTCGATCTTCGACATCATAAATCAAAGTAGTTTAAAATATCAAATTCTATCTGTTGAATCGCATGAGCTTTGGCGCAAACCTCAGCAGTCTATCCAGTGTACCAGGCCCAAACTTTCTAGCAAACAAGAAACAAACATTGGAAACTCTTCCATTATATATACATGCAGTCCGATTCCTCAAGCTATTCAAAGCCTTAACCGTCACATCCGTTCTAGTAAACTTGGCTGGATGTGGGCCGCCCCTCGACCAGTCAACCCAGGTCAAACTCCTATTTGAATTCTTCTGTGCAAAATTTATGTTCACATATGTTGGCAAGTAATGCTCATCTGCGTAGCATGAGCCCCTGCAGTAAGTTTGGAACACCGGGAAGTATTTTTTATCCGAGACAACTTCAATGGCAAGGCTTCTGTCAATTTCAAACCATTGTGACCCTTTTCGCCATTGACTCAACGAGATTTGTGGATACATGTGAGAATTGTACCTGCCACGCCCGACCGAGCTTGGATCATCATAGACTCCCACAAAAGTTTCATTGGAGCGGACGAGGTAATTGTAGACAGTGGAGAAGTTGTGGAGGGGAATGCATGACTCTGAGAGCAGAATGAACCGTTGGTTTGAGATGTCGAGAAGAGCATTCGCCAATAGGCGGCGCTCGGCCTCAATCATGTTCACATTTCCCCATTCTACTTCCTGCATTACATGTAGAATGTATAAAAATTAGTAAGAAGAACAATCTTGCAATTAAATGAACAAGCTGCCACAAAAAGAAACTCATCGAGTGCTGCTACGTGCGCTTAACAATGCCGTTTTGTGAATCTACTAGGGTGAATAAATGTGGCCAATTAGACAAATGGTCCATGTCATGCTCTTACTTTGCATTAACACATTTCGAATCAAGTACGAATTAACCCCATTACTGAAGGGTTTTTGACACATCTGTGACGGTAATCGATCAAATCACATGATTATTTGAGAGATCTAAGATGATGTGAAGGCATGAGCTCCTAGACCAAATCCGTGCTTTTAAGTAGGTGGATTGTCTAAAACAGAGCAGGCAATCTGTCAAGCATTCAACCTTATTCTGCCAACAGCTTTGTAGTTTAAATTTTTTAGTTTTAACTTTTTAGTCAATCAACTTCACATTCTAATGTCATTGTTTAATGGATTCTTAATCTTTCTTTCAAAACTAATGTTCCCTCCAAATTTAACCTCTGCAGCCTCAATTTATTTACAGAATTGTTATTAGCACTCTAAAATCGTCACCAGATCACGGTGTGCATGATAGCTTCAATTTCATCAAATTCAATAAAATGTAACAAATAAATTTATGCAGGAAAAGTAACTGACCTGGCTAGGAATTCTTCTGCCATGAAAAACTGGACTTTCCGGGTGCGATCCATTGTAAGATGGATTCGAATGCACGTAAATCGAGTACAATCCTTTATGTCCTTTGAAGAACTTCTCCCACAACGGGGCCAAAAGAACAGGACCCTTTACCAAGAACAAGAAAGCAACCTTGGGAACACGGGGAAACGGATACTCGGAAATCCGAGGACTCATCGAAGCTCTCCACAGCAACTCCACTTCGTCCATGTCGTGGAAAACCTCCGGCGGCTTTAGATATTCCTTCAATCCTACGTGAGGAGGACGGTGACTCGTGTTGGGTTCAACTGCTTTAACGTTCGGCATTAGGTTGTGCGGATTGGATGCAGATGTTGAGGTTGAGAAGAAGGAGAACTGTGCTAATTGCAGACTGAAGGAGAAGTCTTTCATGTAGAAGCTGAGCACCATTCCGAGGGTCAGGCCGCCGCCGAAGACGAGGAAGTAGAAGAGGAGATTGAGGAGGTGGAGCTGGACATTGAAGAGCTTTGAGAAGAAGTTTGAAGGGTTTGGATTTGGTCCCTTCATATTCTACTAACAAAAATAATATTTACAATAAAATTTGATCAATGCTTCTGTTATGGCTTCAGAGGGTTGATCGACAAGAAAAAGTCCACTCAAACTCGTGGGATAAGAAATTTTGACAAATACCAAGTTAGATTATAGCCTTATAGGTATGAATCTATACGCCTTTTTGAACAGATGACGGGGTTCCTGCTACGACGCTGCTTCAATATATATATATATAGTGATATATCAAAGTATTTTTTTGGGATATTAACCGAAGAATCCGAATAGAAATCTGAAACCAAAAGCAAATCACTTTGAACAAATCCAGAAAGGATAAGGTATTCGTGCCAGGAATCGAAGTACAAGACAGAGTCGGGAGAAGAATGGAGAAGTTAGGGAGGGAGGGAGGGAGAGAAGAAAGGTCGGTGGCTGGCTTAAATTTATGGGTTGGGGAGGGCTGGTAACCTATACGCGGCCGTATGCTTTCATGACTTCGTAAGGCCATGGAGATGGGGTAGGGATACAACTCTCCCATCTTAATCCGTCAACAATTTGGAATTTGAGTTTCAATTAAACCCTCTCATTTTTTTATATTATTAGTGTAATTTATTTAATTATGACAAAACACTTTCATTTTATTAAAGGAAAACTAATGAAAATGACTTGCAAACTTTGAATTTCAATAATAAGGACAAAACAAACGGTAAAGTAAATATTACTATAATTGACTTTTTAGTATAAAAATGTAATTTTTCGTTAAAATAAACAGTATCTGAAATTTTTCATTAAAATTTCATTTTATTAATCCTAATTAGGGTAAAAACGTAACGCTTTTAAATTTGCAAAGACACAATTCGCATTATACAATACCAAGACCCACAATTTATTTTAGTATAAATTGAAATATATATAAATTAAAGAAGAAAAAGGAAAAAAAAGTCTGTTTTTAGGGAGCCGTCGTCGTTTACTCACAGTTGAACTGAAAATTTTTGAAACGACGGAGGCGTTATTTTCGGGATTAATTGGACTTTGAAGTTGGAATATTAAAGCCGCCAATTAATAATTTTAATTAAAAGTATTAGGGACGATTATAGTCCATGTGAAAGACGTAACTTCCGGTACACGTTTTCGTTTGACCATTCAAGCGCCCCCAGACGTTTGGGAACCAGAAAACTTCTAGATTGCATGGCCGACGGCCTTTTACCATTCCCATGCAAACAAATCAAATCATGCAAAAGATAAATCACAGGAATCTTCTTTTGAAAATCAGGGCAGGAAACTTTGACGAATTCAGCCATTCAATGTTGTATTCTTCTTTATTTATAAATGAGAGATTTTAAGTTTGAATTTCGTGAATGATGAATTCTATACCAAATTAGGTTGTTCATTGTGTGACTTAGCCGAACTCTCAATTTTTCTAAATGTAAAATATATCATTATACTCAAAACTTTGACGAATTCAATCTCCCAATTATTTTATTCCCTTACTCCTTTTCATGAAATTCCATGCATAATAAAATAGGAAACTTAGAGGAAATAAGGATCCGAAAACTCTATTATGCTATGGTATATGACATGTATCAAATGAATGAATGCACAATTAAGAATTTGACAACTAAAGGTCAAATGGCTAAATTTTTTTACATATACTATATATCAATGCACAATAAAAAAACCCAAAAGTAAACATTATAAAAAATTTCTCAGCTGTTGTTGCAGTGATTTTCGGCGGTGATCTATATTCATCATCCAAGACCAGAATTCAAATTTGCATATGATGTTTAGTACTTTGTTTTGTTTGGCTTTAAGCAAATTATAGGGATATAGATCCGAATCCCACAATTTTTCTACCCTGTTTGACACTCCGTTTTAGGAAAGATATTTCAGTGTAACCGGTACACAGGATGATACATTATGTGTCACTAAACAAATTGTGAGATATGTGTGCTAAAAAGTTAATAATTTAAAAAATAAAATTTCACACTATTCCTATTAAAACACATGATGTATCACTTGTGCTTCCGTCATAACTAAAAATTTCTCCCATTTTAGATACAAATTAGAAGGGACAAGGATTGTCTGCCCTTCTTGTTCCCGTGCCCTTCTATGCCTTCTTGTTTTGTGTGGTCACGGTTAAGCCACGTTAATATTTTATATTATTTTTTTTATAGAGATAATAAGATAAAAATGAATAGTAATATAAAACGTTGACGTGACTTAACCGTGACCACACAAATAAGAATACATGGGAGGGCACGGAAACAAGGAAGACAGACAATCCTTGTCCGATTAGAAGTGATGAGCGTGAAAGAAACTGTGCGTAATCCGTGCAAGTAAATCATCTGCTGACAAGAAGGCACCGTTCCCTGTATTAATATCTACACCAAAAAGAAATGGTGTTGGCCCGGAGGGTGGGGCTAATAAAGCATTGGCGTGTCAAACATTCCACAATGGACTGCGCTTACACGCATCTCGCCATTGTCAAATCTTCGTTCGTTTTTTTTTTTTTTTTTTTTGTCGCAATCATCGTTCGTATACATGACTTAGTTTATTTTACTTTCTTCAACAAAAACTATTTCACTAATGGCTTCCAAACAACACTTTTTAAAAGTGTATGCAGGTTGAATTTAAAGAATGAGAATCCTCTATGGATAGGATTTTGAAATTTTTTTAATTGTATTCGTTTATCGGAAATTGTGTGTTTTCGTCAGGTACTATTTACATTCAATTTGAAATAAAATAATTTACAATAATTTTTTATCGCACGATATACAATGAATGTACATGATTGGAGAATTCCCATGATCTTCACAAAGATGATCCTCATTCAAATTTAAAAACTAGTGGACTTGAGCCTTTAATGAATAATTTTAATTCTTGTTATACTCTTTTAATTTCTTAAAATGACATTTATTGATTCTTCTACACTTTATTTTCTCCATCAGAGAACAAAGTAACCACACCACCTACCACTACAACTACTAATCTTACACCACCACCGCAATACCACCACCAGCGTTGCCAGCACCATCACAACAACAAACACAACTATCACCACAATCACAACCGTCACCACTACCGCTATCATAGCCTCTTACCATTATTACCTCTACACTCCAGCCACCACACCCCACTCCGCAATTACCGCAACAGCACAGCCCTACCCCACCCCTTCCCCCAAAAAAAAAAAACTCATGGCTATCGCCACTGCCATTGTTGTCGCCACCTACGATTGTAACCACCAACCTTACACCATTGCCCACATCACCGCAACCATTATTACCACCACCAACAACGCCGCCTCCACCACCACCACCACACTAATGTCGCCACCTACGACTGTAACCACCAACCTTACACCATTGCCCACATCACCGCAACCATTATTGCCACCACCAACGCTGCCTCCACCACCACCACCACACTAATGTCGCCACTTCTAACACACCCTATTATTGGCACCGTCATCATAACTCCGCCATTGTCATTGCCACCACTGCCCATACCACAACCGCACCACCTCCACTACTATGCCCACTTTTTAATTATATATAATTATCTTTTATATATTATAATTTATCAAACACTTTTACACTGCTTTTCATACTCACATTACTTTTAAAATACAACTTATCAAAAACTTAACTATTTATTTTACAACTGATTATTCTTAATTAAAAAAAAACACAACAATCTCAAACTAGCTCTCAATCACAACTTAAAATCAAAATTATTAAATTCATTTTGAATCGGAGTTGATATATTTTCCAATTAAAGTAGAGATAAAATGTCACTGGTTTGGTATTGTTGTACTTTGAAAAAAAAAATTGTTTCTGTTGTGCTGTGAAAATAAGCCCATTTTTGCTGCTTCACATTTTCAACTTTTTTCACCTAAAACTGTAAAAATAAGCTGTTTTTAAGTGTTTACCAAACACCTTTTTTAACTCAATTTTTTTTTGTACTCACTTTTTATAAAAACACCTCGGTACCAAACCAGTACTAAGCCATGTGGATTAACTTGTCAATATGCAAAAAGCAACGTGAATTCGACTTGTCAATTCGAAAAATCAACCGGGAAGGAAAAAAGAAAACAAAATTACAAAAGCCCTCCCTACGGAATGGATGGAACATAAATACCAACATGCATGTATTTTTTCATGCGACTGAAATATAATACCCAACTACTTGGTAGTGGTGTGGACTCCAATTTTCCGTTTGAACGTAAAATTTGGTGCCCGTGGTCCTAAAGCAAAACGAAAAAAGTTAGAAGGCAGGGGTAAAAGGGGAGGCTGAGGCTCTTCCGCCAGTCAATGCACCTGTCTTTTGCTCCAATTGGCAACTTTTTGTACAAAGTTGTGGACGTACTGCTTTATTCAACTCATCTATCTTACGTCTTCAATTTTAGTTGTTAAATCCAAAAGACTGAGTAGCGATTCTTAACAATTGCTCCAACGTTCTTCGTTGAAACTTTCTTGCAAAGAAGTGGCATATGGCACTCACGCCGCCATTGCAATTACAATTAAGTCCGTCTCTTAACCGATTGAGAAACTTTTCTGTCACGTCCTTCAGTTTCATCCTTCTAGGATAATTGGGGACCGTTTTTACTTTCATGCTGTGAACGCAAGATTGGGCTAAGAATGTGTTCATCTCACTCGTCAAGCGACCATGATGCGAGATAGACACATAGACGTATAAGCCCGTCCTACCAGTAAAGGTTTTTCTTGGGATCTTGGGAGTCTGACTTCAATGAAAGAATGTCACTGGTACCAAAGAGAGTTGTACAATTTTGACAATGAGATTTAAAATTTTCATATGCTTCTCATCCCGAGTACGCCAAGATACAATTACAGCCTCTACATTCTAAAACAAGTCTTATTTGGAACGAACCTGTTTTTAAACAAGTACAGCACAGCAAAGCTAGCCACTGCCCTGGCAATAAGGACCTGAGGTTTCCATGGCTTCCAACAGTTTAACCTGACACCACTACTTAAATAAGCCCCAATCCATCGAGAGAAGAAGTGCAGCCTACAAGTTTTTTGAAACCTCTGAATTGAAAATTCCTGGATGAAGTAATGCAGCAAGCTTTGATAAGCCCCATGTGAGCTAATAATAATCAACATTGGAAATATTATTTAACTCTTCGATGCTAAAATTGATAAGGGTACAATGATCAAATAACAAAAAAGATCATCTCTCTATAAGTAACATATCAGACCGGAAAAACGGATATGACATAATTCAATTCACAAACATTCAAGATTCTGTGTCTGGGCTCTGTATGTTTCAAGGATTCAATTAAGCTGCAAATGGAGCTTCATGAACTAATTTTCATGTTAAGTTATATCCAAATAATCATATATCATTTCGGGCAAAAATGCAAGTTTAGTGATCTAACCTAAAGGTAGTTTGTGAAGGGGCCAGAGAGAGAGCAGCTTCCTCACTTGGGCTCATAATTTCCCACCTTGGTAAAGAATGCAGCCAAACTGCTATGGAAAGTTTCTAAAGAGAATCCCTGCACACCTTAAAGGAAATTGTCTGAATTCGAACTTAACATGTATATGCTTCAAGAACAATGTGTCTGGCGTTCACCAAATCATCAACCTACGTGCATGCTAAAGTTGCATTGATGTAGGACCAAGTTAAAGATTACGTCGTGAAACCAGGAAAATGTTACCTTTGGTAACTTATCTTGCTGGGCAAGATGATCCACATGAAGCCTCACATTAGATGCACAATGAATCCAAATGCTACGATCAATCTCCGAATATACAGTGGAAACTATGTCAAACAATGTTTCTGCTCCATTTTCTATCGCTTTCAAGACAGAACTTTCTCTTGCTCTGCGGTTCCTGAAAGGTAAGACTCCTCTGTCGGAATACATCTAATATGGTGCCATGATAATCCTTTTCTGAAATATAGTTTTTACCAAGAACATTGATAATGATTTTACCGACATACAAAACAGGGGGAAAAGGGAGAGAGAGTTTTATACTTGAGATATCCACAAAGCATGTGCTTTGGCCATAGGTTAACTCTCCCATGAATGGGGACCAAGGCATGTGGGGAAAGCTCCATGAATTTGTAAGTTGATTGAAAATAATCCTGTGTTTGAAAAAAAAAAATTATGGTTATACGTATGTAATTATGACAACGGGAGTAAGCTAGACCACCATAGCATGTGGCATACCATTAACCTCTGCTTTATAGAGAAAATTAACTTAAAGTAATATACCATAGATAGGAACTTACAGTCATATTTCCCCCACCAGTAACATCCAGTACAGCACTACCTTGACTGCAACAAACCAAAGCTTTTTTTCAGCAGAGCAGTCCCAACAGGTAAAAAAGTTGGAGCTATTATAAAATCTAATTTCGAGAACCAAAACTGAAAAGAATAGGAAACTTTGGGGGATAGGCAAAGCTAGAAACATAAACCGACCTAAAAAAGTAAACAAGAAGGCACAGATATTTTCTATTGCTGGTGTAAGTGCATAAGAGGAAAACACCATAAATTAGAATTTTAGCCTAAAGCAAGGCGGTTGATTCATAATATAGCATAAAGTTTACAACAGGTTTTCACAAGCAAGGGGCTGATCAAATCATATATAGGGGTGCTCATAACAAAGAAGAACTCTCTTCTATCTCACCCCACACAATGATCGCCAACAATCAATGAGTGAGTACTAGCATGGAGCAGTGCCATATGCCCATCTGTATGCCCCTGAATTAAAGTAAATAAATAAACAAAAAAAATGTTATTTTCAAACTGCATAATAGATTAATTTCAGAAGTTATATCAAATAGAAAGACTAAATCAGTAAAACTCTATATCATTAGTTGTAAATATGAAACCAAAACCTACAATATGCTTTTTTTCCCTAAGAAAGCATAAAGCATTGGTACCAACGTTTCAGCAAGGATATCAAGATTACCAAACAGTTAATAACTCATTAGAATAATGGAAAAATAATAAGCTTAAGAATATCTGAGAATAAGTGGCTTTTACTGGTTAAAATCAAAGATTGAACTTCTGCGAGAGAAAAAAAGGGAATGTAGTGAGGTTCATCACTCTATTCCAATTCCTTTCATAATATGATTTTATTTAGAATAAGAAAGTCAAGTGAGAAATACCGGAGAAAAAACGGCAATCAATCGCTGACCACCAATGCAAATCTCTTCAGTTCCAGAAATTGCAGTGAAGCCAAGAGACCAGTCATCTGTCATCATGTATTACCATAAAATTAGGAAGTACATTTTATATGGAGACCTTAAGAAGAGCAGAACAAACAACCCAAAGTAATAAAATAGTAAACTAGAAGGTAATGGCAACTCATATCCCTAATCTCATATAAAGCATCCGTCTTCCATCTTACTAAAAGATTACCAGTCATTCTACCTTTTTAATTTAAAAACTTTATTGATGTACAATCCAAAATTGTAAAAGAGGACAGACACTAGGATATCAAGCGCTTTGAAATAAAGGTCTTTCCTCTTCATCTAAAGTTAGTTTCAAAATTGACCTCATCTAGAAATCACAGTAAAATGTGGTACAATCACAAAATTGAGCTAAGCTCCTCATTACTAGACTTCTCAGTCGCTGGAAACACAAAGTGTTAAGATAACAACCTTTTCCAATGCGTCGCATGGTATTTTCATGTGCTAATAAAGTAGCATCAGGATTGCAACGCTGAATAACTGAAAGACCTGGAAACATTAAAAAGACCAAATGTCTACATATCAATTTAGTTTGACCAAACACAAATGTTAAATAAAAATATGACTTACCATATTTTGTCTAGTTTTACCAAAAAACTTACCATCTACATGATCGCGATGGTGATGAGTAACAAAGACAACTAACTTTCTTGGCAATGAAGTTACAATTTGTGCGAGCTGAATGTATAAAGTATAAAATAAGTTACCAAGAGCTTCAATAAATAGCTAAAACTAAACCATACTACAGAGGCAGCAGAGCAAACTATCATGTCATACCTCTTCATGAAATTCAGACCGGCATCCAGGGTCCACTATCAATGCATCTCCACAAGCAATAAAATCATCCTCTACAAATTCATTTGAAGCATTTTTGGGTGCAAAAACAATCAGATTTGTTGTATAAAAAGGTTTTCCTGTCCTGCTTCCCATAGGTACAAGCACAACACCAGGAGGGTACTCCTGCAATCACAACAATCTTTACTCCGGGGGAACACAATAATACAAAGCGTATAATGGAAATAAATAAGGGAGTTAATAAGACCGAAAACACACGGCAAACCTGGTAAGGTAAGGTGGATGGAATGTTCATCTCTCTCGATTTCTCAGATTCATTTAGAAGACCGGCAACTATCAACGGCCCCACACGATCACTGCTTGGTTTCACTTCAAGAAGCCAGCTTAGACAACTCGGGACAGACATCCATTTACACGATTCTGCATAAGTACATCTAACATAAGCTGCATATATCTCACCAAAATATCATATCCATTACCATATATAATTCACACGAAGTACATTTACTTAATAAATTAAACAGAGTTCAAAAAGGGAAAACAAAGAAATGCTCAAGCGACAGTGATATGAGCAAACCTTGTAAATTTTGCTCCGAAGCTACCAATTTTCCCCTAATAAACACCGAATTGATTGGCGGCCCGGGTCCGAACTGAGCTTCCTCCACGTACTTGGACAACCTCCAATCTCCACCGTCAGCCGCCTTAGACCCTACTTGTTCCAGAACCTACTAAACCAATACTTATAAGTATATAAAACCCTAAACCCAAAAATTACAATTCCACGATTTGAAACCACACGATACCTGGTTGAGAGCCGACTCGAAGTCGAATTTTGCCAAATCGATCTTCCCCGACCACGGTTCTGCGCCTGCCACTGCAATCGAGGGCTTCGATAGTCCTTCTACAAGGTTCAATTGGGAGGATGGCAAGTCCCAGAGATCAGAATCGACGTACGAGTCGTACTCATCGCAGTCGAACTTCGGCGGTCGCGTCTGTTTCACGAGGAGGAATTCGGCGTCGTTTTGAGGATTCTCGAGAATCACAGCTAGCTTGTGGTGCGCTGCCATTGCTAAGACTTGGAAGAATGCGACGGAAAGGTTGATGAAGGAGAAGAGCAAGAGGGTTAGGATTTAAAATTCGCAGGTAGTTGTACCAAACCGCGGCATGCAGACACAACGGACGGAACGGAATGAGACGGGAGAGAGCAAAGATGTCATAAAGAGGAAGAAGAAGGATTATGATTTCATGTTCTACTGATTTGGAATAAGTCGTTCAGGTTGTGAGGGTAACCGAAATTCATTTAAAATTCGTCGCGTAAAATAGCATGTTCCCATGTTTTAGACGTACTAAACGAAAACGGAACGCCTCGTCCCCTCCGTTTTTTCCCATTTCACCTACCAAACGGTACATGAAGAAGTAGGTGGTGCGGGAACAGTGATGTGACCTTTATTGGAGGTTTAAGTCGTTGGAATAGCCTCGCGTTGGTGTAAAAACTAGAAAAAAATAATGAGCTGTGTTGGGCTTAATCTGTATTTAGCTAAGCCCACTTATAGATTGGGCTACTGCTTGGGCCTTGACGCACCCCAATTCGTACGTGGCTGTTATAAATAGTTCTTTCGATATAATAGTTCCGAACTCTCTTTTTTTTTTAATAGAAAAGAAAATTCTAATAATAGTGGGCTGAAAAAAAACATAAGTCTCCAACAGAAAAGGAAATTGTAATAATGGTTTCTTAATTTTAATCGAATTTGAACAATAGTATCTTAACTAAAAATTCATGATTATTAATCACTCAATTCCTCAAAACGAGCAGTTATGGTCATTTTCATTAAATACGTTACAACTTCCATAAAAATGAGTCATGTTAAAAGAATCATTGTTACAATTAAATTTTTGAAGGACTATTACTCTAATTGTGTAAAAATTGAGGACCATTTTTTCAATTGGGTTTAAAATACGGGATCATTTTTTTCAATTGGGTGAAAGTTGAGATAAAATTTCTACAACTTTCTCCTTTAGTTTTCTATATTTGCCCCTTCATTCAGCCTGAAATACGTGGTATGTAACTTATTTTAACGGAAGTTTCAACGAAATTGACGAAAATAATCACATGTATACTTTTTAATGAGTTAAAGAACAATAATCATACATTTTTAATCGAGGAATCATTACTTAATTAAAATTAAAGTATTAGAATTTTGTCGACAAAAACAATGGAACTGTAGAAGTACAAGTACAAAAGCTTACGGTTGGAAACCGGTTCTGAGAGTCCGTTATTTTTACAAGTAAAAACAAATAAGAAAAAAAAAGGAGTTGAAGGGGAAACTGGTAGGGGAAGAAAAGGCAAGTGAGTTGGCTTTGGGTCTCTTCTCCAGCTCCCTTAAGCTCTCCCTCTCTCTCTCTCTCTCTCTTTCTCACGGGACAATGGTACAAAACCCTAATTTAATCTTTTCTTTCTGCCGCGTTTGGATTAGATCAAAAACCTATTTTCCAATCCCCTGACCTGTTCGCCATAGAATTCTCTTCCCCTCTCCATTTCCCGAGATCAGAAAAGGAGAGAGCGATCCAATACGACTTTGAACTGCGCGCTTCGGCGACCAAAAGTTGCAATTTTATCATTGTTTTTTCAATCCGGTTCTTTCATGATTAGACCAACTCAGCTGCTTCGGAGGAGATTGCTCTAATTTCCAGATTGTGAAGTAGATTGGAGAGAGAAGAAAGGGGAGAGAGAGAGATGGGGACGAATTCGAAATTGGAAGGGACGTCTGCGGCGGCGATACGGCGGGACCCCTATGAGGTGCTGAGCGTTTCGAGGGATTCGACTGATCAGGAGATTAAAACCGCTTACAGAAAGCTTGCTCTCAAGTGAGTTCAATTCCCTTGGTTTGTTTAATTCAAATATTCTGTTTTATTCATGATTATTGTAGGTTTAGTGTTTGATTTGAGCTTAGTGAGGAATTAGGATATTATTATTAGAAAAACTAATGAAAATGGCTTGAAAACTTTGAGTTTGAAAACTTTGAGTTTTAACGGTAAGAACAAAATAAAGGGTAAAATGAATAGTATAGGATTGACTTTTAGCGTAAAAATATGGATTTTCATTAAAGTAAACAGTATCACGGGCTTTTCGTTAAAACTCCCATTATTATTACGATTGAGATTATGGGCAAGAGTGACATATATTCAAACCCGAGCTTTCAAACATATGCCGAAAATGCGGTATATAGTCTTGTGCTTGGAGTTGATCTTCGCCATTGTAGCTGTTTTAATAATGTTTTTATCATAGAGACTTTTTTTTTCGGTAACAAGTGGGAATTGAGCTGCCTTACCGTGTTTTCAATCCATTCTGCTGGATCTGTCAGTATCTCCTGGTTAAAAATGGAACTAGAATTATTTAGAAATATATACTTTATGCAGAAAGAATCGGTATGTCCATGCTGTATTTGCTGTATAGTGCCCCCATGCAAGAATGTATCTATGTCAATGCCTCAAAGATGATGAACAATCTTGAATGCCTAGTGAATTTTGCTGTATTTGCTGTAATGTGCCCCCATGCATGAATGTATCTATGTCGATGCCTCAAAGATGATGAACAATCTTGAATGCCAAGTGAATTTTGGTATCAGCATATTTAATTGTTGCTTGGTGCCCAAATGCTCCCTTCCTCACTCTCTCTCACTCATAAATCTTACACTTTACCCTTGATAGATGAATAACAACCCCATTTCATGAATACAACAATGATTCTACGCAATATTTCCTTGTTTTTCTTGTTTCACGTATTTTTATTGTGTATGGTCATTGTAATGTGATGAAAGTACACATGAGTGTTCATTCAGTGTGATGTTAATAACTAGAATGCTATTGTGAAACATATTTCACGTACAATCTTGTTTTGAACCAAATTATGAAAAGGTATCATCCAGACAAGAATACCAACAATCCTGAAGCTTCAGAACATTTCAAGGAGGTTGCATTTTCGTATAGCATCTTGTCCGATCCAGAGAAGAGGAGGCAGTACGACAATGCAGGGTTTGAGGTGCTTTTCTAATTTAGCTTACTATTCTATACCATCCCTCTCCCCAAACCCACAATAAACATATGTACTGCTGAGTAGATTCTTGATTCCATTTGTTTGTGTCTACTGTGTAATTTTAAGGATTGTGTCAGTCAATACTTCTATTCAGATTTGATCGTTTTAAATTACATTTCATTTGTCTACATGGAGTTTCAATTTTAATCATTTATGTTCCGCTTTTCTTTGAAAATATAGACCTCTTTGGAATTTATGCCACTTTCTAACGTCTTAATAATGTTGCAATAGATCTGTTCTTATCAGTTCTAAATTTGTTTCAGGCTCTTGATGCTGATGCCATGGACATGGAAATTGACTTGTCAAACCTGGGGACTGTAAATACAATGTTTGCTGCTTTGTTCAGGTAATACATTGTTAGATATATGTGTGGGTTTCGGTTCATTGTCTTTTGATATTCATTTTGTTTGTTTATAGCAAGTTGGGTGTTCCTATCAAGACGACAATTTCCGCCAATGTACTTGAAGAAGCTCTTAATGGCACAGTTACAGTCAGACCTCTCCCGATTGGAACTTCAGTTAGTGGAAAGGTGCTATTTCTTTCATATCACTATGAAACAATAGTGGATTTGGCGCATCTTTTACATATTTTGTGGTTTGCTGCAGGTGGAGAAACAGTGTGCTCACTTTTTTGGTGTAACAATCAGTGAGCAACAAGCCGAATCTGGGATTGTAGTTAGAGTTACTTCAACTGCACAAAGCAAATTTAAGGTGCATATAATATATATATTTTTTTTTTTACTGAATTAGGTCCTTTTCTGCATCCTGTTGATGATGATGTACCTGAAGCGTCTATCTTTGTGTTTTATGCACTCAATTTATCTGCTTTGTTAATATTACTAGGAAAATACTTACATTTCAATCAAACCATTATGATGTGCAGTTACTTTATTTTGAGCAAGATGCCAATGGTGGTTATGGTTTAGCCTTACAGGTACTTCATATGCTTCTCCGATGCTTCTCCATCTCATTTCTTACTGATAATCATGTTTGAACTCCGTTGGAGTAAATTGCGTGAAATCATTTTAGATTTAAACATCAGCAGTTGGCTTCTACTTGTCTGCTCTATAGTGTGCCTGTTGAGAATATCGCATTTAAGAATGGGAAAAATAGAACAAACTCCGGAAATCGAAAACAAATAACCAAGATAAATAACACCAAGAATTTACATGGTGCGGCAATATGTGCCTACGTCCACGGGACAGCAACAACAATCTTTCACTATATCAATAATGAGTACAACCAATAATCTTGCCAAATCTCTAGAACTAGGACTTGATGAAAAACTTGAAAGAACAAGAACAAGAAATACACTATCTCTTTTCTTTTCTCTCGCACACACTTTACAATATTCTCTCACTTTAATCCCTTGAGTGGTATACAATTTATTGTTTTTCTCCCTCCAATTCAAAACTAGTACAATAGCCCTTTATATAGACATAATAAAGGTCTTCTTCAATAAGGATTATTAATCCTAATTGGAATCTAGTTATAAATCCCACTCCAATTGAGAAACTAACTTCAATTGGGAAAACAATTTAATCCTCTAAGACTATAATTCCTTATCGATTTAGGACAACTTATCATGCAACAATCTCCCCCTCTAGACCATGAAGAAGATATACCCAAAAAAAAAAAGGATTGCTCCTCTTGACCAAACTCCCATTGATCGAACTTTTCATGACCAGACTCCCCCTGATTGAATTACCCATAACCAAGCTCCCCCTGATCGAACTACTCATTAACCAAGACCCTCTTGATTAGAATTCTCTTGACCAGGCTCCCTTTGATCGCAATACCCATGACCAGACTCCATGTCATCGAACATCTCTTGACCAAAATTCACTTGACCACTTCTCTTGACCAGGCTCCCCCTGATCAGAACTACCATCGTCATTGGCAAAGGCAATTATAGACTTCTTTGCCAGAAAACATCGCTTATCTTCATCTTGGTCCAATCAGCATCAAACATACTTGCTGGCTTGCTCTTAACACCTTCAGTAAAGCATGTCCTCCTCTTGATTTCCACGTAACCCAATTAAAGCAGGTTGCACCCTCCGTTCTAAACGGATATCAGCCAAACCGAGCTCTGATACCACTTGTTGAGAATATCGCGTTTAAGAATGGAAAAAATAGAACAAACTCCGGAAATCGAAAACAAATAACCAAAATAAATAACACCAAGAATTTACGTGGTTCGGCAATATCAATAATGAGTACAAC